GTCTTAATATCCCGAAACTCGCTAGACCGACGCATTATAAACCCCAGCGCACGTGATGCTTTGGTCACCATTCTGTCTATGTGCGCATCAAACAGAAGTTTATTGTCGAATGCGACACCCAAATCACTAACTATGTTTTCTCGTTTAAGTACCTGGCCGGCAAGTTTATAATTAAAGACTAAGAGATTGTTTTTGCGACTGTAGGTTACTATTGAGCATTTGGCAGGATTTAAGTCGAGCTTATTGGAAATACAGTATTCCTCCAGTATCAACAAGTCAGTTTGGAGAGCCTCAGCATCAAAGTTGGTTGAAATTCTGGAGTATATTTTCATGTCATCGGCAAAACATAGCAGGTTACTAGATGTCAAACATAAGTGAATATCGTTAATAAAAATAGTAAAAAGCAACGGTCCTAGTAAAGATCCCTGGGGCACGCCGCTTGATATTTTAGCCCAACTAGAAATATAATTGCTGACAACAACTGCCTGAGACCTATTGTCAACATAAGAAGCAAACCATCGTAGAAGGTTGCCACGAATCCCAAGTTTGTTAATTTTTGAGAGCAGTCTGAGGTGATCTATGCGATCGAAACATTTGCTGTAATCAGTATAGATCACGTCAACCTGGTCCCCGGCTTCCATTGATGCTGATATGAAATCATTTATCAAGACTAAATTAGATGTTGTTGACCTACCCCTGATGAACCCGTGCTGAGACTGTGAAAGGTTAGTTTTAATTGATCCAAATAGTTGTCTGTAAATTATTCTTTCAAAATTTTTGGACATGATGCAAAGTTTCGATATGGGGCGATAATTAATAACTTCAGTTTTGGAGCCCTTTTTGTGTATGGGGGTAACATAAGCGCGTTTCCACACCGACGGTACTGTACAGGAGGAGATGGAGTTCTTAAATAAAATGGTTACGGGGACAGAAATCGAAGACGCTACTTTAATTAGAAAATACGCGGGAAGATTATCAGGTCCAGCTCCTTTGGAAATATCTAATTTAGAAAGGTTATAAACGTATTATTGTCGTTTTTTGTTTTAAAAAGAAATACTTTTATATTAATAAGAGCGATTACACACGGTGATTTTTAACAGCGATGCAAACGCGATGCAGTCGCTAATCGGCTGCCTTTACACATGGACGCGATTTTAAGCAGCGATGCAGTCGCTAATCGGCTGCCTTTACACACGGGCGCGATTTTAAGCAGCGATGCAAACGCGATGCAGTCGCTAATCGGCTGCCTTTACACACGGGCGCGATTTTAAGCAGCGATGCAAACGCGATGCAGTCGCTAATCGTCTGCCTTTACACACGGGCGCGATTTTAAACAGCAATGCAAACGCGATGCAGTCGCTAATCGTCTGCCTTCACACACGGGCGCGATTTTAAGCAGCGATGCAAACGCGATGCAGTCGCTAATCGTCTGCCTTTACACACGGGCGCGATTTTAAGCAGTGATGCAAACGCGATGCAGTCGCTAATCGTCTGCCTTTACACACGCGGGCGCGATTTTAAACAGCAATGCAAACGCGATGCAGTCGCTAATCGTCTGCCTTTACACACGGGCACGATTTTAAGCAGCGATGCCAACGCGATGCAGTCGTAATTAGTATTAGGTAAATTCGGATTAAGCGGATAAAACGGATCGAAGGACTTTTTCTAAGTGTTCAATCTTTGTTATTACTAATTATAACAAACTATCCACTAGCAATGTCACAAAAAATAATTGAATATCATGGTGATGAAACGTTGTGACGTTCAATAAGAACTTGAAAATTATTAGGTAAATTGTTAAACATCCTTGTATAGAAGATTGTGGATTATTTACTGTTCAAGTACAGTTGATACTCCGAGGTACTTGAACCGAGGCTGACCTTCTGGTTCTGAGAGCCTTTTTATGCATTCAACAGTAAAGTCTAAAGGAATTTCAGCTTTTTATTCGAAATTTGTATATTTATGAAATGTAGTTATATATCAAATTGGCATCCAAAGTTTCTTAAAACGTCATTCTAATGGTGGCAATAATAAAGTCATATCAAAATGAAAGAATCCATTTTTTCTTCCATACAATTTGAGCCCAAAGATGTAACTTTAATACTATCACATATTTTTTAATTAAAAATTACGCCGAAGTCATAAAAAAATAAAATATAATTTCTTAATTTACTTGTACCACTAAAAATCATGGTTCGAACATATAAAGGACTGGCAACACAATAATTATATATGGCAACGTCTAATTAAAAGTTCTAAAAATTCAAATGGTAGGTATCCTGTTATCGGGATTATTTAAAATATGTAATCGTCTTACGCAGTTTTGTAAAAAATAAAAACAATTATTTTGTAACTTACTCATAACGAGCCAATTATTTTATTATTGACATAATTATTATAGATAGGCTAGAATACTATGTCCCAAGCTGTTACACTGTATTGAAATGTCACCGAAAATATACTAACAATATGAAGAGGCTGTCTGATAGAACTTTTGCCTACCCAAGTAAATGGGTGAAACACAGACCAAATAGTGAAACTTGTTAAAAAAAACATGACGCCTCGCCGTCGACATGTCAACCAACGTAATAGAGATTTATACGTCTATTTTGTTCAATACTTACACAATAAAAACATTGTTTATTTGATTACTACTTACTACATCTAAAACAATTTTGAGGTAAAATGTTAAATTATTGATTAGCTACAGTAACACAGTTGTAAAATTACGTGACGTCGAACGCAGTATCTTTTATATTTATAATTTAAATTAGTAGTAGTAAAGCTCCGGTTTGAAGGGTAAAATTTCTGGTTGAATTACAGGTACATGGGACTTGTCGACTTATGTCCACCGTGACAGGCACAGTGGTAGTGCTCCTCAGATCTTTGCGATTTAAAGGTCTGAGTGACACTGCAACTGTTATGGATAGGCGTGTAGCTTATCATCAGACTTGTTCCTCCCGTCACTACAATATTGTAAAAATACAACATTTTCAGAAATTTCTATTAAAATTAAAAATACCTCAGTTAATGGATGTTTTCCTACTTTGTGTGTACTTTTCACCTCCGGCTTAACTTAATTTCAAAATAAAATAATAAGTTACATCTTTCAATAATATGTAATGTCATTCTAACAATCCAAACTTATGATGAAATGTGTCCTTCAAACGCAAACTTAACCGACTTACCTTTTAAGATGTCAACGTTGTCAACATTTTTATGTTCCACTAGGGTTTCTTCAAGGCGTTAAGCCACACTCCGATCTTCACCGACATATAGGCTTCATCATAAATTCATTGGCCTTTAAATTGAGTATAATTAGTTAACTAAAACTGCAGGTCAGCCATCTTAATCGTTGTAGTTACAAGAAAACGGTTCTTGAAGACTATCCATGAATTTTGAAGATATTTTAATTGGAATTCACAGATTTTGAAAAAAATGGTAAAAGGCAATTTTTACAAAACTTTTTTATGCCATTCTATTCGGTCTCTGTTAAGGATCAATAGTTTCTATGGGACTAACTGAGGTAAGAGTACTAGAAATGTCAGAAACCACAAAAAACCTTTTACTATACGTTTTGTAGGGACATTTAGTAATCAGTTATTCTAGATATTTAAGGAAACTAACAACACTTATGTCCAAAACGTATCTGATAGAAAACCAATAAGCTGGACACATTTGTATTTCTTTGTCCAACAGTTTACGTTTGAGTCTTTTGCTTGGTTTCATGTCGTTCTTATCCATCCACTGCTACATTCAACTTGGGTCCTATTACTACGCCTCTATTGTAGCTTAAAATTACGTTTTTTAAATGTGTTGTTGAGTATAATTTGTATGCTGAAGTCAAATAAAAAAATCCATTGTATGTGAATGGCACTTATATTTTTATTTTAACACGTTCTTTTAGTGATTTGAGATTATTGTTTCTTAACTAAAATCATCGAGTATATAACCAGAAATAGAGATGAACTGTCATTTTCTTTGTTTGAAAACTATTCTGCAAAAATATTACGGTGACAACTTTACTGCGTTCCGATTGGCCAGCCTGAATTCAAAACAATTGACGGATGTCACACTTGTTTCATTTCATACGACCACTTTGACTTGAGCTTTGCTATTATGGGCGAAAATAAAAAAATGACATATTTAATTACTGATGAAAAGGATTCTGTTTATTTTCTAATAAGATGTTTTGTTGTTTTCCCCTCACCACCGAAAGGAACAGCCGCTCATTGTTAAAGATTTTATCTTTATTACAGTAAATACAAAATATTTTTGGAATGTACGGAGACGTACACATAGGTCGTACACATCGCACCCCCAGTAGAAAATAGGCATAAGTGATTTTACGTTGAATCATCGATTTTATCATATTTGAAAAGTACGTTAAAAAATACATATGCTATATTTTTTTCATATTTTTCTTGGTAAATTTGATGAATTAATACAAGAAATTCGTTTTGAGAATTTTTATTCCATGACTTTTTTTCTTAAGGATTAGTAGAAAATGTGATATAACGCAAAGAATAAATTGATAAATATGACGTTTTACTTAATATTACGTTTATCCCTAAAATTTTATGTAGAAAATAAATAGTAACAAATATTATGATTTAAATGAGTTTGTTTTTTTTACATCGCTAGTCTTGTATACACGATTATGTTTGTATTCGTTATATTAACTAGGTAAGGAAAGTATGTTAAATGCGCTTACTTAACCAAAAAGATAAACTAAAAAAAAGAATAACAGCAGTATGACTGTTTACTTCTTATGAACTTAAAATTAATTATAATAAGAACAATTACTGCTTTATTCCACTAAAAACTTTTCTTTACGCCGAAACATAAGACTACATACCGCGGCGCGGATGTAAAATAAGAATGATTACTTCTTTCTTCCACTAGAATATTTTCATTGCACCGAGACGTAAGATTTGATACAGCGCGGCGCGGGAGTATACAGCGGAAACATAAGTGTGAATACGTTTGGTGCGAGGGAGGGGGCGGGTGCGTATCCACGCGCTTGACAGTCAGTGCCCGTTTCTAGGTCAAGGTAATAGCTGCGTTTACGCATTTGCGAAAACAAAACAACAACAATTGAGTGGTTTTTCTTCTTATTTTAAAGTCAAATGACCTAAAAATGTATAACCGGCAACAGCACAGTAGGGCGAGAAGAATTTTGAAGTTAATAGGTGAGTAAATTTAGATTTAATTGTTATAAAAGCTAAAAAGAGATTATGATGTGTTTACTGTCTAATTCTCCTAGTGTTTTCTCGGCTGATATCGAGTGGAGCCCGGTTTCCGCTTAAACAATGACTTGTCTGGGTTTATCTAGTCTGCCAATTACATTTAAGCGACTTTCGTCTGACCTTTGTAACCAGAAAGGCGAACCAAAACAATAAGATCATGGTTACACATTCTAAATGAATGAATTTGCAGTTTCCTCACTATGTTTTCCTTTACCGTCGAGATAGTGGTACAAGTATGTAAGTTGTAAGTGCTAGGCAATCACAGCAATCGTCTGGTCTCAAACTAGGGGAACCCCTGTAATATGAGTACTAGACGACGACTCGTAACACTAGGCTGATTAATGATTTGCTGTCTATTATTATAAAATTAATGTCTGTTACTAATGTGTAATTTTATTTCTTATTTGTAAAGACATACCATAGATATGTTATCATGAAGGGGCACCGCGTGCGATGGCGCCCTCCTCTTACTAACTTGTAGCAGAAGGATAGTGCCACCACTCGGCGTGCCTAGCCTTAATAATAACAAAATGTGTATTTGTAGAACATTATTTACTTACCTACAAATATTTATATTACATGACAAAGGCGTTAACTAGGTATCATTGTCTAATATATTTATACAGGATGTAACAAAAGTGGTATGTTAAGCGAAAAGCTATGTAAATAGTCCACTGAAAGAAACCTACCTACAAGATTTCAGACTTGAAATCCTATGTTTATTTTTTCATTTAGTATGGGGAATTCTTAAATATCTCAGGAATTGTCATACAAAATAAAAATATATATATTTGATTTCAAGTCTCAATTTTGTGGGTAGATTCCTTTCAATGGGATATTTACATAGCTTCTCGCTTAACATACCACTTTTCTACACCTGTATACTTACATCTAAAAACCCCAGCCATATCACATTAATCACCTGGTCTTAAACTAAGGATTCTGTGAAGGATTTTGCAAGTACACTCAGACCCAAGTCAGTTTAGTAAAGTTTGTCCGACCGGGAATCGAACCCGGGGCCTTTCGTCCTTTAGACACTCTAATAATTGCGGCATCGAGGGCGTCAGATAAAGAATAATATCTTACCTTATTTTGTCTCGCTTCATCCTTCTTAAGAAAGTTGTGCTAGGTGTGTAAGCATGACGTCTTTAGTAGCAGCATAAAAATCATGTTATTATGATAATATTTAAGTGAAATTTTATAGTAAAATAATTTATTTTTAGATGATGACACAGAAGCAGAGCAAACATCTGGGAATTATGAAGTCAGTCGTGGTGATGTTATGTACTCCGGGCCATCAACTAGTCGAAGTAGCAGACGGCAATCAACAGTAAATTACAGAATTAGTGTGTCTTCGAATGAAGAGCCATTTTCACCACCGGTATCTGAATATTTACCGAGTTCCAGTCCTAGTCCGACCATAGACTTAGGCAATACTTTACCATCTTCAATATTGAATGACATTGATTTTAGTTTGAAAGATTGCTTAGGTAATGATACACTTTTCTCTACTCCAACTTCCACCACTCGTAATGATTTAATTTTTATAGCATCACCTACTGTCGTTTTTATATCTAATCCTCAAAAAACAATTTCTATGGGTAACAAAGACAGTTATGAAAATTTAGCGCTATCAGCAGGAAATTACATAGAAGGAATTAATCCTTTGCCGAATGATGCCGATCTTGAACCCGTATCTACGTGGTATAATGAAACACTTCCTAAAAAGAGCATAACTGCCGCAGAACCTGAAACAGAACCTACATTTACTAGCCCTACAAGAACTCTGCTGACTCTTGATTATACCACGGCCATGCTTCCTGAAGCAGAGCCTACATCCATAGAATGTCCCGGCGGAATTCCTTTAGTTGAACATAATACTGCCGCAGAACCTGGAACAGAACTTACATCTACAAGCCCTGCAACTCCGTCGGTCCCTTCTATTGCCATAGCAATAGTTCCTCACTCAGACCCCCCAATTATAGCCTGCCACGGTGAAACTCTACCAGCTGGGCACTTTTCCACCACAGAACCAGAAGCAATGTCATCTCGTCCAGTGTTAGCAACTGAAGCTAATACAAATCCCAGAAAAAGAAAGCGTAATCCCGAAAAGTGGTCTAAAGCACAAAAAAAAATTAAAAAAAATACAGGTCAACAGCCTCAAAAACAGATGCGAGAGCCTTGCAAGTGTAAGCTTAAATGCTTTGAAAAAATACCCAGCGATAGGAGGTTGGAGATATTTAGGCAATTTTGGGCTTCTGGTAACCATGAAACTCAATGGCAGTTCATTTTGAAAAACACTGAGATAATAGAACCTAAAGTTATGAAAATTCAGCGTACACGTGAACGAAATCGTACATTGGTTTATTATTTGCCGTCAAAAAGCAATGCATGCCTTATGACTAATTTGAAAGTGTGCAAAATCATGTTTCTTAATACGCTAGATATTAAAGAAAGAACAGTTTACACTGCCATTGATAAATATGCTAATGGCGACCAAATAACAGACCTTCGAGGAAAACATTCCAATAAATCTCATAGAACAGCCAGCGAAACAGAACAGAGTGTAATTCAACATATTAAGTCTTTTCCTTGTATCGAATCTCACTATCTGAGAAAAAATACCAGCCGTCAATATTTGTCACAAGACTTAAATATCTCAAAAATGCATCGTTTGTACAAAGATTGGATGTCAGAAAATGAAAACTTTCGTAATACTAAAGTGGCAAGCGAGTATCAATATTATCAAATATTTAATACACAATTTAACCTTTCTTTTTTCCGCCCGAAAAAGGATTTGTGCAATTTATGTAGCAAATATGACAATTCAACTGAAGAAGGTAAATTACAACTGAAAAAGGATTATGATAGTCATATAAAAAATAAGAACATCGTACGAAATATAAAAGATAGTGAAAAAGAATCAGCAGATCCTAATGTGAAAACTGTAGCTGTTTTTGACTTGGAAAAGGTTCTTAGTCTACCGCAATCTAACGTGGGTATTTTCCATTATAAAAGGAAATACCCCGCATATAATTTCACTGTGTACAATCTAATATCCCGTCAAGGGTTTTGTTATCTATGGCATGCACAAATTGCAAAAAGGGGTGCAAATGAAATCGCTAGTTGCTTATTACATTTCATTGAGTCTGAAGTTAACAGGGGTATAAAGTCAATTTCATTGTATTCAGATAATTGTTCAGGCCAGAACAGAAATCGGTTCATATTCGCGATGTATATTTATGTATCGCGTGTATTTAACGTAGAAGTTACACACAGATTTTTACAAACTGGCCATACTCAGAACGAAGGCGACTCAATGCATGCCTGTATAGAGAAAAATATGAAAAATAAGATTTTGTACACGCCCGACCAACTGTACGAAGTAATCATGAACTCTAAAGTACAAAATAAATTTGTAATTAAAGAAATGATTCAAAATGACTTTTTCAACCTTAAAAGTCAAGTTATGACAAGCAAGAATTGGTCACAAGACACAAACGGGCATCAAGTATATTTCTCAAAAATTAAAGAAATCAAAACATGACCCGATGCATCAAATAAATTATTATTTAAATATGATTTGGAAAGTAATGAATATTTGGTGTTAGACACTACAAATCGTTCGACGCGCACTCGTAAAACAAATAATGTCAATGTTGTGGGTTTTGATGAACTTCCACTTGCATATGCTCAATTATTACCGATTTCTAACGCGTTGTTCAAAGACTTAATTAACCTCTGTGATACAAATGCTATACCTCTACATTACCAAACATTTTATAGAAATTTGTTACCAGCAACTGAATCTTCAAATTTGGAGGTATTTGATTCATCTGAAGAAGAATAACTTTATTAGTTCGTATCTTTGATCTCATTATTGTTTTAATTAGACATTTTTATTGCATTTTTATATTTTTATGTATACACATTTTGATTATTAATAATTTAAAACAAAAGGTACTGGGAAAGTATGAAAGGCCTTATTTTGTTAACAAATTATGCATGTCATGTTACCTTACATTTGTATTGAGAAAATAATTATATTTTGTTATATTATATCCCTTCATATTGAAATAAAAAATAGTGAACACAAAAAATGCATTTTCTTTTTTTTCCTATAGTCATAAATATGTGTTAATATGCAGCTAAATTTTCTATAACATATAATAGAATAAGTAATTATTTTTGTTTACTTAAGTTATCTTAACAAGCCCCTAAATTGAAAAAAGGGGTAAGTATTACTTATACATTTCTATCATAATTTTAATAAAGGAATTAATGCAGTAATCTTAGTTATACAAGCATAATTTTTTGTATTTACAAGTTCATTACAGCTTTAATACTACATACTTTTTGAAATACATTTTACTTTTCTGGCAAAGTCTGGCATAAATTTTGATACTCAGAATCCTGTATTAAATTACATTCTGAAAAATAGCATAATAATTTATTTTTACAATTCCTAATAAACTATAAACATAAGCACTAACTTAAATACAACACGCAGTGCAACATTTTTTCCCCCATTTTTTGATATAAGAATAATTCTTCTACGTTTGAAAATAAAGTAAATATGCCCATAAATTCAGTTTTTTCGCCATACTGAAAAATCAGTATTTTCGTCTTATGCCTTTTTTTCCCTGAGGGTACGACATTTCAGCTTTCTAATTTGTGATTTCAGCGCAAACGACAGTTGATATTTAAAAGTGATTTGGCCCATTTGCCTAATGAGTTACCAGGAATGGTTGGTCCTTATTTCGTCTCTATTTCGGGTTGTATACTCGATGTGACAAATAAATTAATCTTTTAAATGAATTACTTTAAGATGGCGAAAGATTTATTGCACTTCATTCTTTACCATGTACATTTAAAAAAATACCTACCATGTACATGTACATGAACATGACTTTGAATGTTACTAATATTAATCATTCGAATGGGTAAATCATTCGCCTAAGTCGAAAACAAGCACAATCATTCAACTCGAGTCTGATAATTGCAGATACCGAATACCCCTACTATTCGTTCGGGTGCGCGAGTCAAATGATTAAAACGTCTGAACCACTCAAAACCATTCACCATGTCCATATCAAAATATCCCTCTCCACGTCACATTTACGGTATTTACCGTAATTTGACTCATGCATGATATGTAAATGGTAACTTCATTAATTGTACCTTAATGGAATAGACTGTTCATGTTTAGTGTTTAAAGTAATATGTGCCTGTTTTGTTCAATGTTTTTATTGACAATCTGTGACGGCTATTATGTTCCGTGTCACGTGTGTTCTGTTGCCGAATCCGCTGAAAATCAGCGTCGTACCAGTTTAAGTGAGACGACAACATGCTGAGTGGGCTACGGTTTCCTTGGCAGCACAGCACATACGCTTTGTACTCTATATATTATGTATTTAGTTCTAAATCCTTGATATTATTATTATCATAATTATTAGTATTAATATTATTATTATTATTATAAAATGCAAGTGCACTGTGTTGATTATTCAAGTAATAAATGATTTCTATACTTTATATTTCTACCGTATGTTAGAGAGGGCTGCAATCTATGGATTAGTAATAGTAATTAGTAATGAATGATCACTCAGATTATTCGAGTATGAAAATGAGTGAATTACTAATTTATTATTCGAATGACAGGATTAGAAATTACTAACGAGTCCAATAACGAAGTCATTCGCAATGGCGCATCGTTACCTAACACCGCTTATTTACGCACCGCAGTACCCCTCCCCATTTTGTCTCCTGTAGGCCAAAATTGAAGACTACGTGTTAGATAAAGATTTATGGAAAGACGACATGGCTTTAGATTCAAACACTAATTTGATTCAAAGTGTATTCCACAGTGTTTAAGTTTATTTGAAAAGAGCAATCCCTAGAGTTTCTTGCTCGTTCTTCTCAGGGAAGTGAACGAGCAGTAGCTTAAATGTGACGTTTTCAAGTGTAAATTTATTTTACCTATGGAATAAATGATTCTTCGACTTTAGCTAGCATGACACGGTGCAAATTGCGCGGGAGCGACATAAAGAGCGAGATACTGCTATGCTCGCATAGAAATCTCGCTCTCGCACAAGTCGCTAGCCGTATTGGCCACTTGCCGTTGCGTCACCGCGCGCCGTTTCAACGCACCATGTGGTAAATAGTTCTAATTTATATGTAGTACAAAGCAAAAAAAACAAAATCAGTTGCGGTTGTTACAAAAGCAGGGTGATAAGGTTAGTTGAATTCTCCCAATACACTTAGGTTATTTGAATTTGAATAGGTGTAACACACAATAGACCATTTTTCATTTAAATTTATTGGCTAATCTTTATTACTATTTGACTACGTGTTGCAGTAACAACCAGGACGGATCAAAATAAAAAAATCAAACCTTAGCTCAAATGTCGAATGGACTACAAAAGTAAAAATCATCGCATGAAAATTATCATGACTGTAATATTTTTAATTTCTCAAGAAACAACAAACTACACTTTGCAAGTGGATGATAAGATTTACATACTCATATATACATTAACTGATTATCCACCGTTCTGGCACATGGTAGGGGAGAGAATGCAAAAATGTTTATTTAAAAATTGTTTCGTTACCACAAAAAATTCCTACTTCAAGGACATAAAACAATTCGATGTTTTATTATTTAATTTAATTGATCTATGGTACACAAACTTTACACTACCAGAAGAACGTTCTGAACACCAAAAATATATATTTGTTAGTACCGAACCTCCAGCACTCCATAAAGTACCTTCAAAATATAACGAATTTTTTAACTTAACATGGACTTACAAATTAGACTCGGACATTACTTTGAGATATGTAATTATAAAAGACAAAGAAGGTAAGGTTATTGGACCTAAATGGAATGTGCAGTGGATGGATGTACGCGACATGAAACCAATAAGTAAAAAAATTAAGAGCAAACTACAGAGCAAAAGTAAAGCTGTGGCATGGTTTGTGACGCATTGTTACACGCCAGGCAAACGCGGGGAATTTGTGAAAAATTTAACAATTGAATTAAATAAATATGAACTGAACGTTGATATCTATGGTTATTGTGGAAATCTAGAATGTATAAAGGGTGACGAAATGTGCCATGTAATGTTAGAAACTGACTACCATTTTTATTTAGCCTTTGAGAATTCTCTTTGCGAAGACTATGTTACTGAAAAGGTTTTAACTGCTACAAACCATTTCACAGTGCCTATAGTTTACGGGGGTGCAGATTATAACAGGTAAGGAATAGAAATATGCAATTTTTTATAATTATTATTAGAAGTAAAGTACTTGTATTACGAAAATCGGAAACAATGCAACACGCAGACGTGAGGCAATGTCGAAAAGTTACTTTTTCTATATTGACCTGGTCGGGGATCGTAGCCAGGAATGGCGACAATTATGTGACAATTGGTCACATCATTTTTAAATAGATTACACCTTATAATTCTATTTTGATTCTGGACTGTCAACATTTGCTTTTGTAGTCAGGAACATGACTAGTGGAAATTTGTTATGATTATGAATAAAAAGATAAAACACACAGAACGTAAAAAACAATAGAAAGTAAAAAAGTATAATTTTGCTTATACCATTAGGGTAACGTACAAAATTTTCGGATTTCTCTTTATTTAAAGACAAAAAGGGAATATTATATTTTAACGAATGGTATATTTTTCAACCAAAACTATAAATTGATGACAAAGAAGTAAAATGTGTAGATTTACGAGATTACGTAAATACCATTATGTAGCTATGTAAATACAATCATCGTGCCGTGGAGTCACAGCCATAAAAGTAAATTTTCAGAGATATAGCTTATACATAATAATAATTGCTTCTCAATGAAATAGAAACCATTATGAGAACCGTTTCTAAAATTTGTTACATGGTGTTATTGAAGTGCGTATTTCGAAAATCAAAATTTTTATTGTTATCTAAACAGCAAACATAGCTACATTTTCCAATTTTTTTCGTTATCGTCCTATGTAATATTAATGTATGCTATTTTCGTTTTGTTTTGAAGTAAGAATGTGTTTTCTTAATTATTTTTTCAGATTTTTACCTCCAGGATCGTATTTAGATGCCCGCGATCTAGGACATGAAAAACTTGCTTATATTATAAACGATACCATGTTCAATAAAGAAAAATACTATGATTTTTTTAATTGGTACGGATATTACAGTTTGCACGACCCCAGTGAGAGTCCAGAGACTGACGAATTCTGTGGATTTTGTGCTTTTCTTAATAAAAACAAATTTTTGCATAAATCAAGTGTGTACGAAAATTTAAGTACGTATTGGTCTCCGTATGTACAATAAAATTTTAAGCGTTACGCATAGAGTTCTTGGGTTTTCGCGATTGTTACCTTAAGTCAAGCAGTAATGTGAATATTACTCAAAGGCCAGGGTGCTGCTGCTGGTGAAATTACAGGCACATGGGACTTGTCCACTTCTCAAGGTGACGAGTGCAGTGGCAGTACACCTCTGATCTTTGTGGTTTGTGAAGCTTTCAGTGACACTGCAACTGTTTTGGATAGGCATGTCGCTTACCACCAGGTGCACGACTTTTTAGGTTCATCACTTTGTATCTTAAAAAAAATGTTATTTTTATTTCGGATGTGTTTTTTAGACTCTTGTTACTCCCATGGCCGAAATGGTAAAATTTGTTTTTATTGTTACAAAATTGTTATATTTATTTTGTTGTTCTTTAGGAATTTTAACACGCTGTTTGTTCTTTTATGAAAAAAACCTCTCAAATAGATTTTTTTTCCTAATAAATTAAAACTATCTGAATTGTGAAAACGTGTAAGGGAATTTGTATCAAAAAAATTTGATAATTTTTTATGTGTTCTGATAATTTTTTGAATAATTTTTTTTGCTATTTTCTTTTATATTAACTATTAACTTTTTTGTTTATGTTGGTGGCGATTACATTAACATTTGATAATGTATTTTAATAAAATTGTAGCCCTAGTAACCTAATGGTTCGCCTATTGCCTCTCAAGCAGAGAATCGTGGTTTCGAATCCGGGATTGCACCTCTGAGTTTTTCAGAATGAATGTGCGAAGTTTAATTTGAAATTTACGTTTTAAATTTAATTTATATTTTATAATTTCTTAAATAATTAATAATAAATTGCTTTCCGCCGAAATGCTCATAGTAAATGTATATATAGTAGACACACGCTTGGCCACAATCTCACTTGATGTTAAGCGACGATGGGACGCGTTTGCCTAAAAAATGCCTATTCACTCTAGCCTTGAATAGCCCCAATTTGTACTTCTCGGGAAATACAGATGCCGTAGAGCATTCCATTCATTTGCCGTATGTATCAGAAAGGAGGAAGCAAAGCGCTTAGTGTGAATAGGTGGAATATGAACGCCATAAGAATGGAGTGCTCCGGACCTTCTAGTCGACCGAAGGAGGCACGGTGAGGGTGAAACTAAATTGAAAAGTTCCTGCGCACACTCTCCGAAATGTATCCGATAGAAAACCGACAAGCAGGCTACTTTTCTGCGATGGTCGAGATTTTGTGGCTTGGACTCCCCAAGAGACATGTTGTTAATAAGTCTCTTTGCTTTACGCTCCACCGACTCCAAGGCAGCCAACTGGTAATGGGCAGAGCCGTCCCAAAGGTGTCAGCAATACTTCATACACAATCGAACTTATGCTTTATACAGATTTAAAAGCTGTTCAGGTGTGAAGTACCGCCTGACCTTGTAAAGAATGCCTAGTTTTCTGGCAGCAAATTTTGCCAAGTTGTATGGCCCTAAGTTGGGGTTCGATAATAAATCCAGACCAAGTAGATCAAGGTGGTCCGTTATCGGCGCGGATACATCTTGGAAAGTCGGAGTAAGGTGTAGGGGACGTCGTTTTGATGTGAAAAGACGCGCCTGTGTTTTAGCCGCGTTAAACCTTTTTTTTTTTTGACGGGGGAAATCTTTATGGATACCCAGCCCAGGGAGACTCAGGGGTTATGTGGGAACTCTCCCTCCAGGCTGGAGGGCCTACCCCACTAAAACCTCCCCCGGGGTTCCCTCTCGCCGGTTGAGTCGGCGCCGTGGTATCAGTGAACATTCACCACGACAGCCGCATTAAACCTGACCCTGTTCGCATTTCCAGTCGGAAGCCGCTTTCAGGCTCAGGTTCAACCGGGTGACAATCGCCTCTCGTTTACATCGGATCTCTTCCCTGTTGTCTCGGGCGTCTGGTACATAACTCTCTACAACAGAGTTGTCGTCTGCGTACCCAAAGATACCGGGCATCAGCAGCAGGTCGTTGATATGCAGCAAGAATAGTGGCGGATAGGACAGATCCCTCAGGTACACCGGCATTTATACCACGAGGAGCAGACGAGAACTATCTACAACTACACGGATTGACCTATCCTTCAGAAAATCGCCTATCCATGTGCAAAAGGCACGAGGAATTCTGTAAACTGGAAGCTTGTTTAACAGGCTATCACGCCAAACCTTATCAAAGGCCTTTGATATGTCGAGAGACACGGCAAGCGATTCATCGCGTTTCTCGACAGCCTCGCCCCATAAATGTGGCATACACAACAAGATCCCCAGTAGATCTACCACGGCGAAAACCATACTGTCGATCACTGAGAAGATCGTTATCTTCGAGGTATCCAAGGAGACGGCTGTTCAATACGAACTCCATAGTCTTACAGAGTATGGAGGTGATTGTGATAGGTCGATAATTAAAGGGGTCTGCATAACATTATGAATTTAAGAATGTGTGTGGAGTTTTCAATCCACATTGGGTACTACAGCCCGAGTCCTTGTAACGGCAGCAAAGAGTAGCCGGTTATCTGCAAAATCACGATTTTGCAGTAGAATGTTATGGACGTAAAAATTTTATATATTCTGATGTTACAGACTGAATTAGCTAACATTTTGAGCAACGGGGCATTATAAAAAGATAATATCTGAAGGGTGTTCAGAATATTATTCCCTCGTTATTATTTTCATAAAGCTCTAGCGGAAAATTGTGTTTTTGCATTTTAATTTACTTATCCGGGAGATCTTTTCTATTGAGTTATTTTTCCAATACTAGGTATAATAGCGTATTTTTTAATTTGTAACTCTCTTCGTTACTCGATATGCGTGTAAATTATTTTTTATATAAATACAATTCTTAATTATCATCTGTAATATACCTCATCATACGATCGCGTTTGCGGTGTGATATGAAATGTTACCGAGTTTCCATACAAACTGTTACAATTGATAACAACCTTGATAACACTCAATCATAAAAGCACTTAGTAATAAATCCAAATATAAACGCCCTCGCGATATAAATCTTTACAAAGAACAAACACCTATATTACGTCCACCTAGTTGAACGCGTTGAGCCTTCTTATGGGCCTCATAAGAAGGGTCAAGGTCACTCAGCGGGCAATGGAGAGAGCGATGCTCGGTATTTCCCTGCGTGATAGAATCAGAAATGAGGAAATCCGTAGGAGAACTAAGGTAACCGACATAGCTCGAAGAATTGCTCAGCTGACGTGGCAGTGGGCGGGGCACATAGCTAGGAGAACCGATGGCCGTTGGGGTGGAAAGGTTCTTCAATGGCGACCGCGCACCGGACGACGCTCAGTGGGTAGGCCCCCCACCAGGTGGACCGACGATCTGGTGGAGGTCGCGGGAAGCCGATGGATGCGGGCAGCGCAGGACCGATCGTCGTGGAGATCGTTGGGGGAGGCCTATGCCCAGCAGTGAGCGTCGTATGGCTGAATGATGAGTTGAACGCGAAAACGCGATAACCGCGCGAATTGACCATGCGATCATGAAAAAAAGCGGGTGTCCTAATAGATAGTTGCGCGAGTCCGTATTCCCGCAATTATGAAATGAAAATTAATTTTCCTAAAATATGTTGAACAAGAGATGGAACACTTATTACCACATATTTTACCACATCTGACTTGCAAAATTATACTTATAGTGATTGAATTAATTGATTAGATTACAAATAATGCCAGTAGACATGCACAAAACATCCTTAAAGTTCTAATTTTGTTTCAATACGTACTCAAATATATATATGAAAATTATGAAAGCCAAACAATTACATAATATTATAATATGAGTAGTAATTTATATGTCAATGTTTATTCAAGAAATCGTTCGCTGTGTAATAATTTTTGTCTTTAAGCTATGCATTCAATCTGTTTTCAAAGAAACTATTTGGTAACATTTTAATGTCGTTTGGTAGAGCATTATATATTTGGACACACATACCATTGCATTAATTTTTATAGTAAGACAATCTAGGCGCATTATTTAAAACCAGTCTATTTGGATCCCTTATACGTCTACCTTGGATGTCTCTTCTTTTTTTAAAGATATGAGTGCGGTCGCAGAGCCCGCTTGTGATAACGCAACGCGATTATCTCTTAGGATACCTATTCGAGATCAATATGTATGATCGCAGGTTCTCACGAAAAAACTTTGCGCAAACTTGCGATAGTCGTGCAATCGCGTTCAATTAGGACAACGCCTTCGGCTACCCGCTTCTGCACAAGAAAATGCGCAGCGACGAGAATACCGGCCCGGCCGGCACTGCGAGCACCGATGTCAGTGACCCCGACGTGATCCAATGTAGTATTTACGAGTGTAAGGCCTATAATCCAACTGGGTACACCAGCTAGTCCAGGAATCGAACACCGGACGTAGCGATGAAGCGTAAGCTCGATTAGACAATGGCAGTTTTTTTTATGAAACCTTTATAACAGTTTACAATGACACTCTGAGCTTTGAATTGTAAAATTCTGAGGGAAACTGCCACTGCGTCTGTTACTCTGAGACTTAAGTTGACAAGTCTCATGTGCCTGCGATCCCACCAACTACTATACTGCTTGGTGACAGAAATAGCTAAGGTCGCAGTACTTCCCTGGACGAACTCTTTCACAAGGAGCTCTACTTCTTGCGTTTACATTGTCTGAGAATATACTGCATAAGTATATAGTAAAAGTTAATAATAATATTTGTTAATCAAAAACAAAGTGTTACTAGTATTATTTGTATCAGTGAAACATTACGTTTACATCTTTACTACTTTCATTACATGTTTTTTTGTTGGCTCATAATATAAATATATCTTGTATTCTGTTCATTTTATAACTTATTCCTCCTCTTTGAAACGATATTTTCATCTCTCATTTCCTTGATATTCGTTGTCGAGATCAAGTAATTTGGCAAATTGAATTATTTTTGGTCTATTGTTGAACATTTTTTTTGCTAGGCCATTTTTGTAGACGAAGATTTGACAATGTGCGGATAAATTTCTTGTAATTGAAGTCATTCTACGGCGCGTCTGTATTTTAGGCGAGAGTGAATAGGTATTATTTAGGTATGCATGCTTTATTGTCACCCTCATTCACAATTCATCAGATGAGATGGAGGACAAATGCGTTCATTTTTTTTAGAAAATACTTCCTGTCACAGAAATCTAAATTATTTAGATTTCTTTAGTTACAACATATTAGAAACGTACACCTTAAAAGAGGACACTACAAGACGCCTGCAGGCATTTGAGATGTGGTACTACGGTCGCATGTTGCGCATTGGGTGGATACAGAGGGTCACGAACGAAACTGTGCTTCAGCGTGTTCATACGTCCCGGAAACGGGGAAAGAGACGCGCTGGGCGAAGAAAGACATCGTGGCTGCGGAACATCTGGGAGTGGATCGGCATTGCCTCCGTCGAACAGCTGTATCGGTTGGCTGCTTATAGAGACGGATACAAGAAGCTGACGGCCAACCTTCAGCATTGAAGAGGCACTGTAAGAAGAAGAAGTTACAACATTATGTTTTGTTCTTCTGTTTTAACTTTTCTATACGCTTTTTAATTCAGCACTGTAAATTAATATTTTTGGGGATCAACGACACACATCAAGAGTGTCCAGAGATCTAACACGTTTTTGCTAATTACTAAAAATCGGGTATTTATTTATTTTTTATACCAAAGGATTTAAGTGTTTTATTGAATGTCAGAATGTTTCTTCACCACAATGATATTCAATTATTGTTTGTGAAATTACTCCACTAGTTTGTTATAATTATTAATACAAAGATCGAACACTTAGGTAAAATTCATTCGATCCGAAACCGTAACAGACGCCATGCCAACTAAGCCACGGAACGAACCAGCGGACATCACGAATTTTTCTATGTGCTTGTTTGTCGGATCTTTGTATCTGGTTTTTAACGACTTTTTAGCCGTAGCGCCATCTATGAGAAAGAAATCTATGAAAGACCAAAGGATTTATTTGGTAAATTTCATATTAAACTCAAATGATAAAATTGACCAAAAAAATTCATCGATGTTAAAAAAAAATTACGAAACCCTATTTTCAGTAGTTGGCGAAAACGTGCTTGTTCCCTTTTGATGCGTGTATTTCAGATACGCTAAAGGATTGGTTCATTATGAAGAAACACTATAAAATCAGACCAATTAAATTACTAACTCAATCTCAACGAATTAGGTTATAGAAATAGTTTATTATTAAAGACTAATAATTAAAGCTTAAACAATAGACAATAGTTTTTTTACTATACCAATTATTTTATCATAAAAACTAAGCCACAAAAAAATTATAGATAGTGATTCGGAAATTTTTAAAATCAAAGATAGTTAAAATGCGTATTGCCACAACTGCAAATGGTATAAACAATACTGCGCTTCTAAATCCACAGATTTACATACTTGTATATACATTAACAGATTACCCCCCAATTTGGGACATGGTGGATGGAAAAATGCTAAAATGTCGATATAAGAATTGCTTTGTCACTAAACAAAGATCTTTTCTCGAGGATATTGGAAAGTTCGACGTTTTGTTATTTAACATAATCGACATCAGCTACAAGAATTTTACACTACCCGAAGAACGATTGGAGCATCAAAAGTATATATTCGTTAGTCATGAACCACCAGCGCTTCACAAAGTTACCTCAAAATATAATCGTTTTTTTAACCTAACATGGACGTACAAATTAGATTCGGACATATCGTTACGATACATAATCATAAAAAACAAAAGAGGTACAATAATAGGACCTAGTAAAAACATGCATTGGATGGATATAAGCGATATGAAACCAATAAGTAAAAAAATTAAACGCAAATTACAGAGTAAACAAAAACCTGCAGCGTGGTTCGCGTCACATTGTTTTACACCAAGCAGACGCGAGGATTATGTGAAAAGTTTAATGAACGAATTAAATAACTATAAATTGAAAATTGACATCTATGGCGGCTGTGGAGATGAGCAGTGTCCAATGGATGACGAAGTTTGTCATACTATTATAGAGTCAGATTATTATTTTTATTTGGCTTTTGAGAATTCGTTATGCGAAGATTATGTAACTGAAAAGGTACTGACAGCTACAAAACACTACACTGTACCGATAGTTTACGGTGGCGCAGATTACAAAAGGTAGGTAATAAAAAAGCGACCTCAATAGATTATGGAATTATATCTAGGTATTTACCAAATTTTATTGAAAGCAGTTAACGGACAGAGGGTGAAACCATTAAACCGGATTCATGCCCTAATTTACTACTTGCAGAGGTGGTATATTGTCTTCAAATTAGAATAGGTTCTATATAAAGGTACCCACTTTCCAACGAGAAAAAAATCAACGAAATTGGTTCACAAATATCAGAGTAATTGCGTAATATACACACTAAAAAACGTACTGTCGAATTAAAACCTCGTCCTTTTTTGAAGTGGATTAAAATTGACGGAACATCTATGACATACTTAGTCTTTAATCAGCAACTGGATACAATTTTTTTGCAACACATTACTAATCGTTTGATTAAGCTGCATCGCATATATCACCTTTCTTTGTATATTTTACAGATTTTTGCCTCCGGGATCGTATTTAGATGCGCTTGAACTAGGACAGCAGAAACTAGCGCGTGTGATAAACGATACCATCCATAACAAAAACAAGTATTATGATTTTTTCAAATGGCACCGATATTACACATTGCATGATCCGAGTGAAACTCCAGAAACTGATGAAATATGTGGATTCTGTGCTTTTCTTAACAATGATAAACGAACACAAAAAACACGCGTCTATGAAGATTTTACTGCTTATTGGTTTCCATAGACTTACTTTTCATGTCACACGAAGTAGACGTGAGGGAGTTTAGTAAATTAATTGAAATTGTATAACTTAATCCTTTCATGGACAGTAACGGCGTTTACCGTAAAATGAAAAATTCGAATATGAACAGTACGGTCTATCGATATATTGATCTTATAAAAACTACTACGGGCTTTACCGTCCGTATTCCAAGTGCTTTCTTTGTAGTTGCTGCTGAAGTATCAACAATGTACTGACAAAATTGAAAGATTTATTTTAGACATATTTGTTGACGTTACACACAAATATTTACTATGTGCACATCACGACAGTACGGTGAATACCGACGTGTTTGTATGAGGTGATGGAAGACCGTACATGTCAGTGCGTCGCCAGCGACTGCCTTTTGTGGTTATGTAGTTTGTATTCGCGCTGGAATTTTCTGACAGTAAAAAATCGAAAATATCCCTCCAAAATTCAAATTCAAAATTCAAAATAATCTTTATTTCATAGGTAAGCATTATTACACTTGAAATCGTCACAATGGTTAAACTCTACCGCTCATTCGTAAGGCAGATTCCCCTGAAAATAATGAGCAAGAAACTCTAGGGGTTGCTCTTTGTAAATAACATTTGTAAACATTCAACATTTACAATATTTATTTTTTGTATTTGAAACATCAGAGATCGAGACTACGTCCATGAGCTAAACGGGTTACTACCACGGATTTTTGTCATCCAAGTACGCAGAAGTTGTATAACAACCTTTAGTGTAAAATTTTTGTTTCACTATAGTTTTAAACCTCGTGAAAGGCAAAAAAAGGCAAAACCGGAATCTTGTTATAGAAGCGTATACATTGCCCCTTAAATGATTTTTTGACTTTGTGAAGACGACTATCAAGAAAAGCTAGTTTATTTCTTTTCCTCGTATTAATGTTATGTCTGTCACTATTTTTCATAAAGAAATTACTATTCCTTTTAATATAAATTACCTTTTCATAAATGTACTGTGAGGCTAGTGTAAGAATGTTAATTTCCTTAAACTTATCTCTCAAAGATACTTTGGGGCCCAGATTGTAAATTGCCCTAACTGCACGTTTCTGCAGGACAAAGATTCTATTGATATCGGCGGCATTACCCCAAAGCAAAATGCCGTATGTCATTAGACTGTGAAAGTAGCTAAACCAATCTAGCGGTTTCGACGTCTGAATGTTTCCTAATTTTTTAAATCACGTACACTGCAGAGCCGAGCCGTTTTGATAACTTACTTATATGGGGACCCCATTGCAATTTAGCATCTAACGTTATACCTAGAAATACAACTGTGTCCACAAGATTCAATTTTTCGTTTCTAACTACAATGTTTGTAACCGTCTTTCTAACATTGGGTAATGTAAATTTCACTAAATGTTTTTCTCTAAATGCATAGTTTTTTAGTAATTCAATAAACCAATAATGTGTGCTGCAGAAACCCTATTCTGTAATAAGTAATAATGAAACATATTTTCACACTCAAAATCAGGTTAGTTAAGTAGATATTTTCTGCCATCTAGGTGCATTGAATTACTTAATTTGATGAATAACTAAACGGTAGATACAGTGTATTATTAGTAATCAAAATCACCTCTCTTACTACTTTCCAAACTGTGATTTAATTAGGTATTCAAATGATAAATAAATAACCTTCATCACTGCTTAAATATAATCTAATTAGTAATTGTTTCTTTTGGAATTGTTAGTACATAATAACTCTTATTTGTCTTCTTATACTGCAAGGGTTACGCTATTTTAATGTATACATTTGGATATTTTTTCCTGAAATAAATAAAATAAAATCACTGCACTACTACTGCCATAGCCGTACTTATTTATGCACAAGAAACATTTGCAAGAACAATTTGCAGTGCTGCTATGAATGTGACGCGATCAGCCGTCAGTGATAAAGCGTAATAATTATGTTGAATCAATATGGTCACTACAGCATAGAGAAAAGTAGTGACTTTTGTTGTGCGATATTATTTCAGTACTGTCCATGAAGGGATTAAGCATTCTTCTTCTTATCATATCGATGGCATACATTATAATGCATGCCACTGCGGTGAAAGAATTTGCCAATGGACGTAAGGTACGCCCTGATTGTTGCCCAGGATTCAATCCTCTATTCTTCTATATAAATTTTGTTTATAGTGACTCCTCCGTGTCAACCTTCTGGTTGTACTGGAAGGGAACTATAGCCTGTGCAAGCAAGCCCACATAGGGACCTTATCAATCAGGTCCTGACCCCATATTGGCACGTTTAATCCGGTTCTTAAAAGGCCTTCCTTAAAGTGCATTGGGTAAGCTACACCGGGTGCACGTACAGCGTCCTTCCTATTGTCCAGGTAAATACCATAGCTGTATGCTCATTTCTCGTTACGCATTGCGCAACTTCCGGTTGTCACCGCTAAGCCGTTGTGTCTAAAATCTACTACCAAATCTCCTCTTTGGTAGCTGAGCTGTAGACACGCTCACTTCCCGATGCTCAAGCTTCTCTCCAGTTCCCAAAAACCTACGCAGCTAGAGGGACCGGGATATCTGCCTCATCCTAGCTCTTCGGGCTGGTAGAGGATGAAGTCGCAGTGTACTGTGACCAATGGCCGGACTTACCTTCCGCTTTAGATTTTTTTCTGCCATTT